TGACTGGAATTTTTATGAGAATTCATCTGAAGTTTGATCAGAAATTGACATATCAATACACTGAAATGTTTGATCTTTTTGGAGGGATATTAATCTTGCACGCAATTTCAACAAAAGCTTAGATCGTAGTTATCAGAAAACTTAGTCTACTATATTAAAAAACTCAATATGAATAGTTATTAAGTATCTATACTTATACTTTAAAGATCGTGAAGTTCGAATATCTCAAGCAAGACGATACGCGTCAAGGCAGTTTGAACTTTAATTTTACCAATTTGAAAGTAAGAGTATTGATCTAATTAGAATATGGTCGATCTTACCAGCTCATAATTAAATTTCTCTATTGGAAGTATAGAAATATAAGAGTTTAGGCATAAGGATACAGTCACAAGCATCTACCGAGAGTGGTTGAGAAAACGGTATTTTGTACGTATAATGATATAAGTCGAAGAATATAGATGTGATGATATAGATAGACAGTTATAAGCATCAGTATATAGCCTGTAGGATACATTCAGTAAAGTATAGGAATAGTGTGAGTTCATTTGTAATAGTTGCCATGAATTTTAATCTGTTTAGTGCTACAAATCATTGTTTACTTGTTTAAATAGCTCGCATTTATATTAGTTTGTCCGAAAAATTTTCCCGATGCTGATCCGAATCAATCAAAATCTCAAGATCATAATGAGCGATTGAGTTAATAGCCATTCATGATTGAAAAATCATGACTATAGAAATTCGAAAAAACTTTTACTTTATAATATTGAAAAAGCAAAATTCGATACAATGCTTGTGAATAAGCGATTGATGTAGGAGAGGGAAAATATCTTCACACTAAAAGTTTCTCTTATCATCAATGTCTCACTGACAAATGATTGAATACACCAGTAGTGAACATTGATGAGAGAAATAAAAACAAGCAACACTCTGCTTCGTCTACATCGTAACAGCAAGAAGGAAAGATAGATAATAAACATTGATGTGTTTGTCAGAAAACAAATTGGGTCCTGTGACATATGGTCGAAGTTGAGAATTCATAGTGGCTATCTGAAAGAGAAACATAATGCGATTAACTTTGAATTCAAATCAATGTTTTTAATTACGAACCGATTTAAAAACACAACTCGATTGCCTTAGCCGCACTCTTTGAATGCTAAAATAAAGAAAATTTTCACTATGATGGAATCGTTTCTTAGCGAAAGATCATACACTTAAATAATATTCGAGTACACCGACATGATCATCCTTGGTCTTCTTTAGTTCATCATAAAATCGACGGAATTCCCGTGCAGCTTCTGCACGTTGTGCTAGTTCGTGCTTGGATTTTGTATCGATGAATATAAAATCACCGTTCCCATTTGGAAAATAGCCAAAAAGTTCTAAAAGCTCTAATGTTCCAGGCTGAAACGATAAAGATGGAAGAATCCGTCAATCAAATGAAATAGACAAACCTTCATGGCAAGTTTTTGAATGATGTATGAGTGAAGAAATGTTGGCTTTGGTATTTCCGGTTTGGAAATGTGTAGAAGAGGAATCATTGGTCGAAGTAGAGACTCGATATCTTCTCTCACCTTGAAAAAACGAAAAAAATCTCTCGATTCGACTCAGAAAGACACCTTAACAAAAAAAAAAGATACTCACGTGGCCAATGCGAACATTGGCTTCTACAATACTTTGCGCCGGCAAGCTTGAATACGACGAGAATGGAACCGCTATTCGCATCTATGTAAATCAATAGAAAAATTTTTTAGGTATTCACTTCACAAGTCAACTAATGCTATGCATATCAATGGATGACATGAACAAATGATTTCAAAGTATAAGTAGGCATTTGTGAATTATTTTGAGCCTACCTGTACCACAGTCAATCAGAATTCAAGCTACGCGATACATGATAAAATATTAAGACGATAATAGGATATGAATATTTCTATTCTATATTGGCATTTCTCACAATAATATCTGGGCCGTTCCAATTCTCTTGATATCTGTTATTGATTCTACACAAATTGAATTTTATTTATCTCTATCCTATTACTTGAGTTGAAGTCAGAACTATGACGGATGCATGTCCTTGTATTAAAACAAAAGCTATTTTGTGTTTACAATTAAACATTTTTAAGTAGTAATTATGGATTTAAATTATTTTTTTAAAAATACTTGCATCTCTGTTATATAATTTTTGCTCATAGTTTTTTCCATAATGAACTATTCTTTTAAATTGGTGTATTATACATACGACAATAAAACAACTAATGGACATCAGAAAGTGTCAGAACATTGGAAAATGGACTTCATTTTCAATCGAATACCATTCAGGTAGATCGTACTGAATCGAAAATGGATTTTTACTACATCTATCTACCACATGAAACTGATAGCGTACTATTTCATCGACCATATTTTATCCCTACCTATTTCCTGATTTTTGAAAATCTATCTATTTGATTGTAAAAGATTGTTCATCACGTTCTCACTCAAATTAGATATGAGAGTTTTATCTTCTCTTCAGATATTTGAAACAATATTGAATAATATTGCAAGTCGCTGATATGTGGTCATTTCTAAAGCGTGTCCTATGAAGTGAACTTCGACACAAATACTATCATTACACAAATATGAAACATGGTAGAAAAAGTTTTTGAATCTAATGAAGACAGTTTTTTTTAAATTTTTTTTTTCTCTTTCCACTGATTGATATATTCATATAAAATGTAAATTTCTTGTCAACTTTAGTTAAGTATCTTTCATACTGAAAGACTTTTATTCTTAAGGTTTATTCCATTTTTGTAAACGCTGATCAATTTTCCTTAGTGTTGTTCTGTGATAGGACTACTCGCATCAACATAAATTATCGATTAAGTTTCTTATCAGACAAATATATTTTTCGACGGATTTCGTTTCTAACGAGACTAAAACTGTAATGCTTATCTTTTTTTTTGTGTTAGAAACCATTTTCTATTGAAAATATACATTATTATTCTTTAGTTCTCTATGCATATAAGAAGTTTAGTAAAAACAACTTGATATGACTCTCTGTAGATTTCGATCGGGAACTTTTTGTGATTAGACACATCTTTTGACATGAAATATGTTTGAAACAAATCATAAAGTAAAGAAGATACCATTTGATCTGATATATCTGTGATAAATATAGATGCTTATCTCGATGACCTGATAGAAGCTTAATTCAATGAATTAGTATTTTGTGCGATTATCTTTGGTGTCCAGATAATTCAATTCAATTTCGATCGACTGAGTAATATATTCTGTATCGACATTCGTGAGATTTTGCTTTCTATTGTGTGTTTAATTCTGTCACTACTCAAGAATTTGTTTTCTTACGATTTTTAAGATAGTTACCAACATGATAGAAACGATGTTGAAACTTTCAATTTAATAGATTTGGAAATCAATCAAACTTGCTATTATTTCTATTAACTAGTTTATCTTTCGTTCTCGTGTTATTAAATGTTTATTAGGCACAGATCTAAAAAACTATAATCGTCATCACCGATCCCTGCTCGATCAGTCGACATACATAGAATTAGGAATCGATCATTGTCTTTATTTTATGACAACTATGTCTCGACTAGTCTAAGATATATGTTTTCAATACAATTATTTATTGGAAAGTCCGAGAAAGTAGCGATCTCCAGCAAAAAGAAAACATTTCTCAAAGAACTAATTTGAAACCAGTAAGTTTTCATATTCTTATTAAAAATCTCTTTGGAAATCTATGTTGAATAAGGCTTGAGGCTCGTGAGCAATAATGTAAATCAGAGGTAGAATAGTCAAGAATCTACTTAGTCAGAGGTACAACTTCAGTTATTTCCATCAACTTGATGAAAATGAGAATAATAAAGTCTGGCTCGGCTTTGCTATTGTTCACAGTAGTTCGGTCTCATATTTTTAGTAATAACGATTTTTATTACTAGAACAGTTTCAGAGAATTTCTTTCCGTATGTGTGAAAGCAATTAAAGAGAAGAATAATTTTTTTGTATCTGTACCCACATTTCAGAGAAAGCGTTCAAATTCATGTGAGAAAAAAAAAGAGCAGAGTTTTACACGTCAAAGAAACGTCATGAGTAAACCGTTTCCCTAAGCTTATTCTCTGAACAGAGTTGGCGACCAATTGTTTCCGAATATTTAAGTTTGTCTTTGTCATTATGATATATTGGTACATATAGAAACATATAAAAAGTTCCAAAATGGAGTCGTAACATGCAATATAATATAAGCATATAGAGAGAAGATACTTCTCTACTAACTAATAGATACAACCTTTCAATCTCTTAAATTATTAACTAAGATTGAATTAGTTGTTTTCTATGTAGTTACAGGAACACAAGCATTCGAAAAAGATTAGTCGACTAACTTTTATGTTAATTCTATCTACTATTTATTTATGACTATAGTAGAGATTATCGGCAATAGTAGCAATGAACGTCTATCATAAAGATAACAATAATCATCCATGTGATAAATGGAAAAACAATAAAACATCAATAACACGCTCGATACCTGTGGATTTTATGTAAAAATACTGAGCTATCTTAGGTGTGGGATAACATACGTAGTTGTGAAAATCTTTCCAATCTGTTCTATTATTCGCTGAACTAAACAGTCTTAGGATAAATAAATAAAAAAATACATACATCAATCTGATGATTATATTTCTCATAGAACAAGACTAAAGTACATTTGTACAAAGAAATTATAAGAGAATCTAAATACTACAGTGAGGTCAATTGTTTTAATTATGTTTACATGGCAATAGAAGATTCGGCATTTGATCGAATAGAAGAGACTACAGTCGAGTGAATTTAATTCTAATTCTGTCAGTGACATGTTGGCAGATTCTTAGTCGTGAGCTGATTTCTGGTGTCCTTGTTTATGAAAACTAGATATTGTATTTATACTTTGACGATTCTATCCGTCAATAATTTTCTAAGATAATTGACTGATTTAACTAATTATAGTCATAAGAATCGAAGAGCTAATCTATATTTAAACAACTTACACTGAGAAAATGTTCGAGCTGATTCGGTTGTCTATTTTTGACTGTTGCAAGTTCATTGTAAAATTTGCGAAATTCACGCGCCGCCTTTTGTCGATGAGCAATTTCATGTGACAATTCTGTATCACAATAACAATATTCTCCAGCATCATTGGGTAACCAGCCAAGTAGTGGTAGCAATTTTAATGTTTCAGGCTAAAATATATTTATACTAAAAATAGTTTTATAAATAATTTAATTAAACCTTTATGGCCAAATTTTGAATGATATTTGGATGAAGTACATGAGGTTTAGGTATATCTTGATGGAAGATGTATAAAATAGGACTCAATGCCAAAAGTAAAGCCTCAATATCTTCCTTTACCTGAAAAATGAAATGATACTGATTGAAAATTTCATGAACATAAGTAATTAAAGATAAAATACATACATGACCAATATGAATATTCTTTCTTACAATTGCTTGAGTCGGTAAAATGTAATATGACAAGAAGGGAATCATTGTTTCGATCGATCACTAATAATGTTCAATTAATATTCAAGATGATTCGTTGAATAAACAATGAGAATTATTTTAGAAATGTAAATTTTTATTTGTTTGTATTGATGGTTCGTAAGGTCATTATAATCCGTATCTTGATGTTATGTTGATTTAATGATGAATGTAAGAAAAAGCGACAATATTCTCTTATAGAAAGCAAAGATGTCTTTTCTATTTCTTATTTTTTTTTCTTTCTTTGATCATAATATGACATTTATTATCTGTTAAGAGACATATTAAATAATATTGCTTTGTATCAACAACATAATAGGAGAAAAGTCAATGTTTTTAATGAGTCAACATCTCTACTATAAATCTTGTTTATATTATTTGATAAAACCGATTGTAAAAGCTATGATTAAGTTTTTTAATAAAGAATCAATTTCTTTAAGAGTTTTTCTTTCATTGTCGATATTGATCTCTATTGCTTTATTAAAGTCAAAGAAAACAAAATAATGTTGACTTTCTATCATAAATCGTGTCTGTAATGCACACGAAATATATTTTCAAAAAAAAAATGATTAGATTCCCATGTGACATGTTGAATGTTGAAAATAAACAGTTAGGCCCCAAACAGACTGAAAAAAATAAGACGAATTAAAAGTGAATTAACTAATATAATTTCCGTTGTTACGTAGAAGCAGCAATCACGTTGCTTAATTCAGCTTTAAGTTAATTCATTTTTCTCTGTCTGTTTTACCCCTAACATATGGTCAAGGTCAAGTATGATGACTGAGACCCAGACAATAACGACAATATCGCTTTATTATTTTACGCATTCCTTTTTGCTGCTGATAAGTACGCAGACCAACAAGAATTTGATGACAGTATTCTCGCTTGATTTCCAACATATCGTTATCTTGTCTAATGAAAGACAATTATCTATATAACGTACACATTGTATCACACTACGATTATAGATAAGAGAAAAAAGAAAGAATGGAGACTATGATTTTGGGGACACGAACATTTATTGTTGCTTATTTTCTTTTTATACGTACAGACAAAGATATTCTATTGAAATCGACATATTTTCAAATAATTCAATGAGAGAAATTTGTCGTTGTTGTTTTTTTAATAGGAAATAGTTTATGAAAATGTTGCATAATTATTATCAAATAAATCTTCGAAATTCTTCGAGCTATTACATTTAATCTGTTGTACTTGAATCCGAATATAATAGAATTTGATGAATATTAAATTATATTTTCTTGATATGATTACGAGCCAATTCTAACACTGAAAAATCATGAAAATAATGATAGTATTATCAGTATCGATCAATATTTTAATGAATAGATTCATCATATTACTAAGATAATCTCTCAACAACAGTTTCTACCTTGTTCGAGCACTGAATACTCATCAATACTGTTTGAAATATGTCGTCTCTTATTTCAATAGAGAATCTCAATGAATTCGATTTAACCATTATTTTTATTTAAAAAACTTCATTGATTTTCATCATCTTCATTCATAAATTATTCTTTTATTTATATTTTCAATTGTTTTTTGTTTCATTCTTGAGATTTCAAATACAAAAAAAAAAAAGAAAAGATAAACAACTAATGTATATTTATGAAAATTTATTAGTTTTGACAATATATTTCTATAATGTAGGTCATAGTCTTTGACTCTGCTGTTTTCCTTTAAGATATTTTGACGTGAAAGATCAATGTTACTGTTTGTATCGTAAAAGAATGCTTGGGGCATACGGGTACAGTTTCTCATCGGTTGTTTTCTTATTTGAATAAATTCAATTACGGAGTTGATTGATGTCAAAATGAGATCTATTTATATATAATAAAATACTTTTACTGTTTATGTTATTGTTTATCTAATCTTACTGTCTCTTCAGATTTGATAAGATTAGTATTTTATCTTTCTCAGTAATGTATGATGCACTTTGTTTTAATATATGTGTTAATGTTCTTTTTTTCTCTTCCATTAGTTAATCTTGATTTTCCCACTCATTTGTCTTCTTAAGCAACGACAATAATGTAAAAGAATATTTCAACTATAGAGTATTCTATTACCTATCCTAACAAAAATAGTTTATTTTTCTGTATTCAAATCATCTTTTGATGAGACTCAATGTTTTGGAAACGTATCTAAGAAGATTTTGTTGATATTGACGGGTATTTTTTTGAATTCGAATGTCAGAATCAAAAATATTTATTACAAATTTAATCTATACTAAAGATAAAAGTCAATATTCGACTTTTGTAATCACCTTTTTTTGCGAATAAACAAAATTAGAATCATAATCGATCAGACGCTTTCACTTATGATTTCTATCTAACAGAAATATAATCGATAAAAGTTCACTACTTGTGCTTAAGTACAAACAACATTGTCGAAGAACAGAAAATGTTTTTAAAAAAAAAGTCATTAGATTCAAAATAGAATGAACTACATTTATGGTATAAATATTTTTTAAAAACTATTGATTATAGAAAAAGTCTATTCATTATTATCAATTTAAAATTATACTATAAGAAAGAGCATTGAAAATTAAACTAAATTGACTTTTATTTTTTGTTTTGTAACAATCGGTGTTAATCGGAGAGTTAAACGTATTCATTTTCAATTAAATTAATATTCTATTAAT